GTCTCCATTTCGTCCATTTGACCGTTCATCTCGTTGATCTTGTTGGCCGCGGTTGAACCGTAGTCGAACAGTTCGTTTTCCCGCTCCTCCAGGTAGACGATGCGGTTTCGTTGCGCCTCGTTCACCTTTTGGGCTTCAGCTAGGCTGTATTCTAGCTGTGCTCGGAGCTTCTCCTCCTCTTTGAGGTAGTCGTTCAATCCGAAGACTTGGTCGGCTAACTGTGTGTTAGCTTCTTGCAAGTCGGCAATGTGGTTGCTCTGTTCCGTGGAGGTTGGCTGTCGACCAGAGTAAGTCGGACTTTGTTGTCGACTTCTGGCCGTTAGGATTTCCAGTTCAGATTGGAGTTGGTCGGTGTATTGTCGGAGCCGGTCGACCTCGTTGTCGGCCTTCCGCAGTTCGACAATGTACCGATCCACTTCGTCACGGTATACTTCGGCTTCTTCGTTAGCCCGATTCAGCATTTCGTGGAAATGTCCGGCTGCCTGTTCTGAGGCGACCAATGCCGTCTGTGTGTCGGCAAGGTCCTTTTCGGCCGTTTCCAGTTGTTTGCCTAGTTGGAGGACGGCTTCTGTTGACCGTTCCAACTTGCTCTTGAGGTCGGTTGCCTCGGCGAATGCGTCATATCGACATGGTTCTTCAACGCGTTTTATGAAGGCTTTTAGTTTATCCATTTCACGCTGTTGGTCGGCAACGACTTTGCTGAGGCCGTTGTTTTCGGCTTCCCACCTCTTCCGTTCGAGGCGGTGGGTTTCTTCCGACCTTGTGCATGAGCCTTCTGCTGCATTGACCAACTTGTCGGCCAGCACGATCTGTGTGATCAGCTGGTGACATCGTTCTCGAAGCTTGTTTATATCTTCGATCTTCTCCGGCGGTGTTGCCGAGATCCACTTCCGTGCCGTGTACTCAAGCGTGCTGGCTTGGTACCTGTCCTTGTGGGACATCGGCGTTCGGAAGAATCCGTCCGCACTGTTGGGGGGTGATTCCGTTGGGTCAAATACGTCGTCGGTTGGTGACGGTGTTTCGCCACCCGACTCTCCGACGTCGAACATCGGTAGTAATGTCCGGTCGACAGGTCGACTAGTTGGCGACTTGGTCGACTTCTCCGTCTCTTGAGCCTTTGTGGCTCGAGTCGACTTGCCTTCTGTTGGCGAAGGTCGACTTAGCGGTGAAATGACCCGTTCGTTGGGTATCGGTATGTTGGTCGGCGATCCAGCTGGACGAGGGCCACTTCGTGGTGGTGCCTCGGTATCCTCCGTTCCGACCGTTGGTTTGGTCGGCTGGACTCCGATTTCCGGCTTGTTGACGGTTGGTTGCTGTTCTAGGTTGGTCGGCTTCGGATGTCCGACCTCCTTTTGACCGGCCTCTATGGTCGGCTTCTGTTGACCGACCTTCGAGGTTGGCGAGATCCTTCCGACCTGTGTGGTCGGTTGGACATTACCGACTTCTGTTGTCGGCTTTTCCTGTCCGGTCCTGGTCGGATGTTGTTGTCCGACCTCATTGGTTAATGGTTGGTCGACCTTCTGTTGGTCGACTTCGGAGGTCGGCTTCGGTTGTCCGACTTCCGTAGAAGGTTGGAGTTGGGTAGCTCCGGAGGTCGGCTTCGGTTGGCCGATCTCCTTAGTCGGCGATTTCCGACTAGCGCCTGGGGTCGGTTGTTGTTGACCGACGTCCTTGGCAAGTTGGTCGACCTTCTGTTGGTCGACTTCGGAGGTCGGCTTTAGTCGTCCGATCCCCGTGGTCGGTGATTTCCGACCTACCTCTGTGGTCGCCGTGCCCATGTGGGGCAAGGTCGACTTCCGAGGTTCATCCGTCCTGTTGGGTGATTTCCTTCCGACCTCGGTGGCTGTCGTAGCCGTTGCCGAGTCCTGAGCTTCATGTGAGCTCGACTGGTTTCCTTCGGTTGGGTTTGGGTTGGTCGGTGCGCCTTGGTGGCGCCCTTGACCGGCATGAGACGTTGTTATCTCAGCCTGCAGCTGTACCACATCCCCCCCGGTCGGGTGGGACGGGGCTGCCGAGTCAGCGTTGGGTTCCAGGAATGTTTTATCCCTGGCGTCCTCGAAACTGTCGTCCGACGTTGGGTTGGAGTCGGCGAGGAGGATCCGCTCGTTTCGCTTCTCCCTTGCCTCAGCCGACTTCGTCGAGTCCGTTGAGGACGGCTGATTTCGTTCCTGACCAGCGTGTCGCAGTGAATACGACGTGGCCAGGTTCGCGCGCCGGGAGTAGTCCGTGTTGAACTTCCGCGCGTATTCATCCTCTCGTGGTTTCGACATTGTTATCGAACCACTAGCAGGTCAGGTCGGTTCTTGTAGAACCTTAAGGACTTGTTGTTTTTATCGACAAAATTGAACAATCCCCTTTGTGAGGATGTTCAATGAGTTCAGGAACTTCTCTTTGTTCAGGAACTTCCGTGGGTCAGGAACGTCCGACGAGATGTTGATGTTGTTGTTGTCGTGTCTGTTGATGACTCAGTACACAAGGTTATATTACAGTACTATAGTACAGTACAGTATAATATAGTAGTACGGTGTAGTACGTCCTATACTACTGAACTGACCAGTATGACGTCACAGAGTTAAGTGGTCTTGCACTTATCTGCCTACGTCACAGATAGCGAGCCGCGTGCAAAAGTTAAAAAAATGATGGTTCACGCCTATGTTAAGCTATGGGAAGTTTCCCCTGCACGCTGATTGGCTGCCCTCAAAGTACTGAAAAGCGGTCGTTCTGACGTCACAAGGAAATCCGCGAATTTTCGCGCTATTTTCCGTAAGAAAAACAAATTATTTTTGGTCGGCCAAAAAGTTTATTTGGTCGAATTTTGAAATTTTTATCCGTTAGAAGTAGGTTTTTGGATTTTTGGAATTTTTCTGGCGGTTGAAACGCCGTTAGAAATGAAAAAGGAGAGAATTTCCGACCTGTTGTCGGTTAGCCTTTGTCTAACTGTCTAGACAGGTTCGTTGACCTAGCAGGTCGGTTCTCGACCAAAAAGTAAAATTCTAAGTCGGTTTCTCCGTTAGAAATTACTTTTTCACCGTTAAAATTTTAGATTTAGTATTTATAAATTACTTTCAACTGTTGGAAAGTAAAAAGCCGACCTAGTTACGGCTAATTCCGACCTAAAACCACGACTTTACCGGTGTCGGTGTCGGTGTCGGTTATGGTCGGTTGCCTCCGTCCGAGGTCGGAAATCCGTTGTTTCCCGGGTGAATTCCGCGAGTAAAGTTGCGGGTCGTTGTTCAAAGCGAAGGTCCCCGTATTATGGAGTAATCCTTTCGCGTTGCAGGCTCTCGTAGCGAGCCTGGTGGCCGTCGGTTGGGTCCGAAATTCCGTACGTTTGGGAATGCTCTTCTTTGTGAAGAGACAAAAACTGCGCTCACCAGCTGTGGCAGGGATCGCTTCAGCGATCAACCCGTTGTCCAGCAGCTGTAAGACGGCAAGATCAAGTTGATCTACAGTCAAGGCAGAGGCTGCGTTCGCAGTCAATCTGGCAGAGACTGTCAGGGTTCTCCGAAAGTTCTCCAAAAAATCAAGCCTTTACCGTCTCCTCAGACGGTCCGTGGGATCGAAAACCAGACGATCTGCTTACCATGTAACAGGCAAGCGCGAGGAGCTCACAGATGTCTTTATTGACATAAAGGCTGAACACAATGCTGCGTAATAGCAGGAAGAAAGAACAAAGCCTGTATGGCTGAATCTAGAAAACTGTTGCTAGATGCGTTCACGAGCGTGTCCAAACGTGAGTGACGCTGGCGGCAACAGTGTGCGTGATGCGGCCATATCAGCTGTGTGCTGTGCGCAGACTGGACTCTATCCAACGCGAGCGTATAAGCGCTGAGTCATACGGCGAGAGAGGGACGAGAGAGCAAGTATGCTCAGTGTGTGCGCACGCGGTATATCCACTTCAGTGGATGAGTGCAGTGCAGCAGCACACATACGTACATGAGAGAGGCAAATACGGCATGTAAGTGAGTGCTAGTACGCCACTTGTGGGCGTAGCACCACGCACAGGCTCGTACGCCTGATAACCTTGAACTTGGCAGTCTTAAAGCCTACTTCAAGGACGAGAAACCGCCGCACTGTATGTGTATCACGAGAAGGAAAAATCCTGATTCGGAGCACAAAGACAACGATTATTTTAAAAAGCCGAACCAGCCATGGCCTTAATCAATCCAATGAAACTTACATTATTAGATTACAGTACCGCTTTTTTTGGTGCCACAAATTGTGCTCCTAACTTGTTTCATACTTGGCATAGTAATATTTAGTACTTATCGTTAGTGCTACCGTGCTACGTATGTGAAGATTTAGTATGATAATAAAGTGATAAGCGAGTATGTCAAGTAAAGCCTTGAAGCCAAATCAATTACACACGTAAAAAAGATTATTTTGGTCGCAATGTTAACAATAATAAGCCTATAAGAGCCCATTGTGAGCTTAAACACGTCGTTGTGCCCAAGCTTCAGTTTGCACTGAATCGGATATCCAAGCGTACGAGTATTTTACTACAAAACTAAAACGAACGCTGTATCTATCCGCTCCAGAACAATGTTACGCCTGAATTAGCAGTCCATTAGAACAAGAAAGAGCAACTGCACTGGAACAGCGGAAACGCTCGTTGATTTGACGGCATTACTGTACCCGGTTCCGGCAATGCAAAAAAAATGAAACGTAAACCTAAATTATTGCTATCTGTTCGGTAGAAATTTACGCGCGTATTATCTGTTCGGTCCGCCGATTACGGATACTTCTAATGCTCAGTTCCAGTTGCTTTAGTGGAACGTGTTTCATGGCAGCCTGCTGAATATGTATGATTACTCTGACTGAAGAGGACGATTCTCTTGGAAGTATGCTGACAGAAGCATATTTCGGTGTATTTCGCAAGAACAGCAGTGGGTGATTTGGAGTGCACAGATACGAGCGGCATGATCGTTACCTGGAAGCTGCATTGCAAAACTCCCTTTTGGACACGCCGCAGGAACTTTGCAGTGGTAAGAAGGCTATGCCGCGTATTCAATCTTCTTGTAATAAAGCGGTATTGCCGCTGACATGCGAATAAATCGACATAAATTCTCAGAGACCTCATCATCCATTTCCTGTTATTTGCCAGGTTTCAGACTTCCATGGACAGGCGATGCTGATGTAAGCAAGTGATGCCCGGTACATAAGACAGACTATCCACAGGCGAGGTTTTCATTGCACCCATATCAGTCAACATTTGTGAAAATGAGCATTACCGGTCTTGTTTACTGCTTTGCTGTTCTTGTTCCAGCGTGCGTCGTTTACGCCCAGGGTGCCGATGGTAAGTAAACTAGGGAAGTGCACCGCTGCTCGCTAGCACTAAAAGACCGAAGCGAAGCTAGAAAATATTTCGAGAAGTATTTACAACTGGGGAAGTGAATTGCGCGCACGGGTATTGAAGCACTGAGCAATTTTTCTTTTACTGACTTTAATATTCGTAATAGTGAATGATAGAAGACTGCGTAATGTCAGACACTTTTAAATAGTAGATTCATTTATACATAATATTTACGAACGATGTATGTATACTAAATACTTAATTAAGAAATCTGGCGCAGGCGGTCTGTTTTAGCACTCCAGTTCTCTTTACTTCAGAGCGGTAGATTTTTTCTGTTTTATGGACTGCAGAAGATTCAAATAGACAGCTGAAATATCGCCAATCCCGTCCAATTTTCGTGCGGGAAAAGTAGAAATGCCGACATCCGCCCCTCTAGCCGCACACTTTACATACGTTCTATAACCTAAAGTGCCGTAAGTTCTGTAAAAGTGAGCCTACCAATGGTGTAGCGCTGAATCTAGGCAGAGCGCAACAGAGCAACGAAACAAAAACTTAAAATGATGTCTCCAGTGTCCAATTCCAGTTTATTTTTTTATTAAGTACTACATATTTGAGAAAAACTACACAGAGTATAGTGCCAAATTATGGCTCAGTTCCCATGAGCGTCATTTCCATGGTGTTCTGCTTGACCTGTGGTCAGAAAAATTACACAAAAAATAGTGACTTTTCTTAATTTAATTTTTTGTCGATCAATACCATTTTTCAAATTGGTATTCCCGCTCCTTCTGGTACCCGGCGTTAGTAGGTTAAAGTGAGCGGCGAGACGAGCTATATTATATATGCGTAAAGAACTGTATTTCTGTATTATTATAAAGGTGACTGCTCTGCGCCCCGATATCTGGACGTACAGAATTTGGCTTTGCGCCCCGAATTTCTGGGCGCAGATACTGTATATTGGCGATTTGCTGTTTTTTTGAAGGTTTTTCATGTTTTATTTGGCTTCTTTTACTTATTTAACAACTCAATTTTTTTGTTGTATGTTTTGTTGTCAAAAACAGGACAGCTTACATATACAGGACAGTACCTTAACCTGAAATTTATTTGCTTTGCTTTCTCGGCTGGATACTGGTCAACCAAGTCGTCCAGCCTTGCAACTACCTCCGCTGCGTTAACCGGAATTAGCTTTGCTAATTCTTTTGTGCATGGATAATCAGTGTTATAAGCTTGGTGTAAAGTTGCTGAAAACCAGGATTTTCAGACTGATTCCGTAATGTTGTGAGTATGCTTTTAAGTACACCATGCGATAAAAAGGGGAAAAACAAAACAAATAACTTAGCTATTAAGGGTACTCAGATTCTGCAGTTCTCTCTAAATTCTGCTCTCCTGCAACCTTAAGGGTTAACAGAGTGAAAAAAAATTAGTTAAAAAACAGTCAACTGCCGGAAAAAGATAAAAACTTCGATATTTCTGCGCCCGGACATTCGGGTGCGCAAAGCCAAATTCTGTGCGCCCGAGCACTCGGGGAGCACAGCTGAATTCTGTGTGCCGGTTGGTCGGGGCGCACAGCCATTTGTATTATAAATTACTGGATAAAGAGCCTTGGAGGAAGTACTGTATACATGTATTACAGTGTATACGTGTATGAGCTACGGTATTACCACTCCGTACACTGCCTTTCCTAAGTTTCCTTATTTTTTACCCCGAACATTATCATTGGGCACTGCCTTTATCTGCGTGCGCGACCTTTTATTTTTTTAAATTTCTTCATGTAAAATTATTTCCGGATCTGCCGTTTTTTCCTTAACAACCGCTATTGCCGCGTAATTTCACGCATCATCACCAGTTATACGTAAGTAACTCTCGGCTCCCGGATGCCAGTTTTCTTCGCACAGGATCTGAAATCTTCGACGTTGCCGTTTTCGTTTTCGAACGAAATTTCGACCAGTTTCGCAGGTTTTTTCTGTATTTGAAGTTGCCGCTTGGTCTTTTCAATGTACAGGGAGAAAGGCAATGTACAGAGTGAAATTAAGGTAGATGAAGATTGTTTACGGAGTGATCCCCTTAAGTTATTCTGGGTGGCCACGATTGCGCAATAATTTATATGTGCGTGACCGACGTGACCGACGTGACAGAAAGTCCCGTTTTCTTGAACATAGAGGACCTTCGCTTCGCTTCGGTCGACCAAGATGCTATGCGTCAGTACACGTCGTACATCGTTGGTCTTTTGTGCAGCTTTAATGCCCAAACGTTGCGTTAACACGATTTGCGAAAGAAACGACCAGTGTGATGGAACATGCGGCCCAGACTGCAATAATGGACAATGCGAATGTTTGCACGATGACCTTCAAAGTGAGCAAAAGAATGGAACGTGCCAAAGAATAATCAGTCAATCCGTACCGCCAGGTAGCGATACCCCTAGCACCCCAGTGCACCTGTTCCCAATAGCGAACACTAACCCACCAAAGCCTGCAAAACCGGTCGGCCACTCTACCCTCTTCCCAATCCTTGTCACAAGACTCACAACTCACGTGGACCGTCCAACCACAATCACACCATCGGTGACCCACACAAGCTCTAGCATTGTCACTGAAACGGACGCTACGCCCACGGCCACGCCTTCTGGGATTCGTACACGCCCTAGCGGTTTCACTGACGTAGAATCTCCGCCTACGGCCATGCCGTCTCTGACCCGCACCGGCCGTACACGCCCTGCCGCTGTCACTGACGTGGACCGTCGGCCCTCGGTCATGCCATCTCTACCCCGCCCACGCGATGCCGCTGCAATTGGCGTCCTGCGAACGGTCAAGCAATCTGCAGCCTACGCACGCAACCCTGACGGCAGCGTCCTGTCCCACCGCCCCGCGGCGCCAGCCAAGCCGAAGCCTGGTAAAAAATAAGCAGACTTATTCGACTGTCCTTGTGAGGGAATGTTTCGTGTCGCGCTTCATATGCTTTTATTGAAATACGAGTATCTTTGTGCTAGCTTGGCCATGCGTCTTGATAAGACACGTTATGTTTGCCATGGAAAAAACGTCAAAAATTATGGTTATCCGCTGATACAATAAATGCTTCGATTGCTTTCAATGCCGGAGAGTGCTAGTAACTAATTGGAAGGTTAGATGGGACGGTAAGATTTTGACGTGGGCAAAGGCAAAGCTAAAAGTGAAGTTAAGGCAAAGTGAAAAGGGAAAGTGAAAAGGCAATGGGAGGGAAAGGTTATCTTGGCCGACTTCAAAGCCGACGGGCGTTTTTTCCGAACAACTGTAGCTGACTTGGCAAAAATAGCGTATCAATGAGCGTTAACAAACATCGAATACCGACCTACCACTCCTGTTTAGTAAAGAGATGTAGTGATGCTTCGTTTCGAAAACATTACGAAACTTGCTTTTTAAATCAATGAAAACATTCGATTAAACCGGCCTTGGCCGACCGGAGCGTTCTGTTCACCTCTCCCGTTTTCTTAATTAGTTACAAAATACCGAACAACGATCATTTTAACAGACAAGTTAACTGGAAATAGGTAAGTACTATAAATTTATGTGATACCGGTATTTAGATTAATTTTATTATTAAATTTCTTTATAGCGGTTGGTTAACACTTATCACAGCACAAGCGTTACAGTTGCATTGCACGAAGCAAGCCGTTTATCGAATAATGTAGGCCGCAAATAATGTAGTACTACTTCCGCCGGCAAATTGAGCATTCTCGGCCCGGATGAGAAAACATTTGCTCTTATAAAGGTAAAAGTTGACGTACTAAGTACATAGGTGCCGTAAAGAAGTTTATGTAATTTTTTTTTGATTCGGGAATCTCACAATTATCAGAGAAATTTGTCTAGAATTATGACTAAACAGTCACCATATTTTACATGAATTTTAGAAAATCGTTGCACGGAGCATTTTGCGTAAATGGATTTTTTCGCGATATGTTGTTCATAAAATATTATCTTTGCACGTTATCATAGGGTCAGGTCATTTTTTGACGGCACTATGATAAGAATTGTCGAATAACAAAAGAGTAGACTACAGGGTTTAATTTGAAATTGTTGGTTTATTTTTCAGTTTTTATATAATTGTCATTTGCTTGTTTTTTTCTATTATTTAGTTAGTTACCGAGAATTATTTATTCGGTGAATGGATGTTGCAACCTTCGGCTCAGAAGAAATCTTCGTGTCGTGAAAATTCTGCATCACCGTATTTAAATGCGCATATTACATACTACTGCAGCATACATATAACAGAAACTCTGACCTTTGATAGAATGGACTGTACTTTCTCCGTCCAAGTTCATGAGCGTGTTTATCGTCTCATAACCAGCTGTTTACTATACACTGTAAAAGACAGGCCGTACTCAATTGGACTTTGCTACCGCAGTTTCCCAAGGTAGCGCGTAATATGCGGGCCACAACAGCGCATTCCACTGGTTCGCGAAAACAAGTGCAAAGGGCAGCCGCACTGACCACTCTCTGTCTGCTCCGTGCGTGCCTTTCAGTCTGGTGCTGAATGAAGCGCTCTTTGCTCCACGTTCCACGTTGCCGGCTGTAGCTAGCGGCAAAGGTCATTTGCCGTTTACCCGTTTACCGAGGCGGAAACTTCCCGGCCGGTAAATGCTGCACGCAACCGCAGCGCTATTTAAAGCCACTACAGTGGTGCAGTTCATCATTACCAAATAATTCTCTGATTTTAATTGCGCTTATTGAGTTTGACTTAACATTTGTGCTTTTTTCCCTTTTATTCGGAATTACGTTTTACACTTTATCATGGAAGTCCAACGCGAACAGCAGCAGTCGAAGCAGCAGTACAGCCGCGAGCAACGTGACCAACGGGAGCAACGCGAGGTGCAGCATTCCGAGGTGGAGCAGACCAGCTACATGCAGACGCAGATCAAGGTGCCCATCATGAAACTCCCCACTCCTTCCATCATCACCGTTCCGTTGGCGCAGGAATTGGTCGGCGAAGGCTTCCAGGTACGAAGTTATTGACCGTTTATATTTGCTTAATTATTTTCCGGTTATTTACTGAATCAGTATTGATTTATCATTTATTATCAATCATTTATTAATTTTAAATTATTTTTGTTTTAGTTCTTCAATTGTGAAAAACGAATGTTTTTGTGAGAATTTTTAAAATCATTTCTCAGTTCATTTTAATTTTCTTTGTCGATTTTCACTATGAACTTTCCTAAAATTTCTGACATAATCTTTTCTGTAGTTTTCTCAACTTTTAAGAGCAACGGCTAATACAGAAAAATCGAAAACCACCTAAATATGCTATTCTTTTTTAAGATAAATTATTTGAAATTTATTTAAAAGTTATGTGCGTTTGTAGAGACTAAATATTCATAAAAATAACAAAATTCAGTGCGTTTTACGACTTTTTTAATTCAATAAGTAAATCTAACGATTTAATTTTATTCGGTATAGCTTTGTCGACTCTGATTTGTGCTGCAGAATTTTATTGCGGTTTATTAATTGCTCTATCTGTACAATGGTACATCGTTTTAACAGGCATCCATCTCGCGCATCAGCGGCGTCTCGGAGGAAATCCAGATCGTGGAGAACGCCCAGCTAGAAGAAGAGACCCGCCGCGACTACGAAGCCAAACAGCGTGAACAGGAGCAGCTGCAGCTGGCCTTCGAGAAGGAAGTGGAGAAGAAAACCGAAGCCTACCGGAAACAGCAGGAGATTGAAGCGGAAATCATCCGCAAAGAGCTGGAGAAGCAGCACATCCGTGATGTGGAATTCCGCAAAGAGCTGGTGGAGCATGCCATTGAGAACCAGAAGCGCCAGATCGACATTGAATCGCGCTACGCCAAGAAGGAACTGGAACGGGAACGCGCCAAGGCCCGCATGATGCTGGAAAAGCAGAAATTCCACAGCGACATCTCGGTAAATTTTAACTTAGATCTTTATAAACTTCACCTTTATGAAATTTATCTATGCAATCTGAAGATGTTTTTCAATAATTCATAAATATTTAAGTGTTCAATAAATAAATATCAAGAAATATTATCGAATTTTATGAAATTAATTAGTTTTTGCTGAGATATACTCGTAACAACGTTTTATATGTGATACCTTTAATTTTGTTTAACCTTCCAATTTTTAAAAAATTTAATAAATTTTTTTTGCTGTCTGTCTGTGAATGACTTTTAACACGCAATTAGCAGTGATTCTGTGAAAATTTTTCTTCACCCTTTACAGCATGGAATGTTAATATGTCTGTGAATTAGTAATCAATGGTCCAAAGTTCAAACAATTCATTCTTGTTCTTCATACTAACCGGCATTTTTTTGTTGAACAGGTTAATTTGGAATCCCATGCGGCAAACACCCAGGCCGGCGAGCAACTGCAAGTGGTCTCCGAGTCGGAGAAATTCCAGTCCAACCAGAAAGTGTCCTGCGGCCAGCAGCGCGCTGGCTAACCCCGCCTACAGTAACCGGGACGCTTCCCAACTTGTACAGGAATACATTGTTAATCTGTTTCCCGAACGAGTCTCTTAACGTTCTGTACTCATGTCTGTTTTGTACCTTCTTCAATGTCTAGAATAGTAAATTTTTACAGCTTATTGCTCGTTTTTTGGTTTGTGGTTAATTTGAAATTTTTTGTTGGTATGGTCATTTGCCATAAAATGTTTTTCGGCGATTATGTAATACAGCGATTTACTCGTACATGTAGCCAAACACGAATAAAAATTAATATGTCAGAAAAAGAAATTAGCGAGAACAATTGACTATTTTTACTCACTTGCTCACCAAAATACTGCATTTTGCAACACTATACAAAGTGTACATGATTATTATACAATGTATATGCGCGACGCGATAGTTCTACAGATATTTGTACATGCGGAAGTGAAACATGCATGTACCCGCGGCACTGTTTACTCGCATTGATTGCGTTTGCCTGCATATTACTTTAATATGACCAGAGCAACGCCACACACAACAACAAGTCAACAACATCGCTTTCCATGCTGCAGACGTCTTATACACGTTTACTTACCACACGTGTCCTACATCAGAAAGCAAAAAAATGAAAAAAATACCGGCGTCATAATTATTTCGTGTACTGCTTGCTTTGCGCTGCTTTACCTTCTTCAGTGAATCTGATGATGATTTTGTGCACGCTGGCATCGCCACGCCCAGAAAATTCAATGGCTTGATCTACGCACATCAACATTGCAACGTGGAAGAATAAATTGTGTTGATTACTGCAGTTTTCCGGGAAGTTGTGATACATCAAGATGTGGCGATTTCTCAACGGAAGATGGAATTCTTTTCATTATTTATTATTCATTTTGGCGATTTTAGTAATTACATTGGGAAGCGTGACCTTCTTTACACAAAATCAGATCATCGATCAGTCCGAAGAATATTCCAAGGAAAACTCCATCGAATTCGATAAAACACCGGCAGATTCTTCCATGAAATACGACAGTAATTTCCGTCTGCAGAATTTATTGGACAAATACGAGCGGATAAAAAGCAGCGTTCACGATACGGCAAACGCCGCCACAGCAGCCGTTATTACGCCGGTAAATGTGGAAAAGAAGGATACGTTGGAACAAGTTCTGGATTGTCCCCGAATGACGCGCAAAAGATGGCCGTGGTACGGCACACCGGCGTATCACGTGATCAAGGATGAGCACCAAGCGTGGAGCTGGGTGAAGACGTTCCTAGCGGCTGCTTGCGAGGGATGCCGCAATGCGACGGAAGAGGGATTGCTGCAACGGATGATGCTGCAGGCGAATCAGCATTTAGCGTCCTCATTGAGCAGCAGAAAAATCGCATCCTTACGGTACGCTCTGCAAAAATTGTTCACTTTTTATGCGTTTTTAAAACCACTCGAAAACTTTGAAATTTTGAATTTCTTTTGAAGATAAATCCCACATTATTTTAACTTTTCGTACGTAGTGAATTTTTAAACGATACATACAGTATATAATATGCGGTATCTGTGTAGTCCGCTAAACTAACTTAATTCAAGGAACTACATAATTTAAACCAATTACTTTTTTAAGATATTTTTATATTCAGTTTGTTTAACCGGCAAATACGAATAAATGCGTTTTTATTTCCGAAGCGTTATGGAAAAGACTTTCTATAGTAAAAAAAATAATCGACGTTTTTATTTTTTTTGGCGGTATGATCTGCTTAAATTTTAACCAATTGGCTCATCGGTAGCTTTGCTCCAGTGAACGCTTCCGTTATCGATGAGCGGATTACTTCCCTGGTTAGCGACCCACAAACCCAGATTCAGCGCACCGTCATTCCGCGTTCCTTCTGCACCAACGACACCAACTGCCTTCCCGCACCCTTCCTTCCGCTGCGGACGACGTCCGACGTTCTTTCGCTAACCGGCTCGCTTGACGATTTGCACGATATGACGCAAATCATCACGTGCTCGTCTGCTGAATTCCTCTTCACTACACTATACACAGGTACACGTTGGCCTTATGAAACGAGTAAGCAGTTTAGGTTTAAGTTTAAGTTTAATGGTTTAACGTCCGCACACATTCAGGGAAGGATCCCAATTCGAGGCAGCAGACACTCACAACAACACTTTCTGATGTTAATTATTAAAAGTGGAATAAACGATTTATTTATATAAAAAATTGATTATTAAAGGAAGTACTCATGGTTGTTTTTGCTTAGAACCGAAAGACGACATAAACAACGACCGGTACGCCACGATGTTTTATGACTGGCTCAACGTCATGTACTTCGAGTACGACTGGATTCCGCTGGCAACCAACGAGCAGACATGCCAGGCGCGTTTTAACTGCAGCATATGGATTGCCTGGCGGAAGTGGAAGGAAGGGGAAAGACTGGAGTTCCTTCCGCCGGCGGCCGACGGGACATTGCCGTATGAGGTGGAGCGGTTGAGCAGCTTCTTCTCCAATCCTGACCCGGGAGCATGTTATCGCCGCGAGCATTTTGGTGGAACATACGATCATGAAACGGCACAGTCCAAAATAGATGGCCGGTACAAACCCGAATTACAAAACCTGGCTATATTTAAAAAGTTTTGCTTGTTACACATATAGAATCTGTGAGTGATAGCTTAACTATTTAGAAAACCACATAAGAAACTGAAAACACAAAAAATAAATTTTTTCATTATTTCTGGAATTAAAATTTGAGCATATTCTAAATTAAATTGCAGATATCATTAGTTTTATTATTTAATTAGAAATGATCATACTTCAAGTAATAAAATTGTCAATAAAACAATAAGGGATTTTTATTGATCGTGTAGTACTGCCTTGAATTATTCAAAACAGATTCATTAAAATTTTATGGTTTAATAAATTTGTTCAGGGTCATAGAAAAAAGAAAGAATAACAGCTACAGCAATGAAATTTGTAACTTAGGAAAATGATTATTTCTTGATAATGTTTATACATGCATGATTTCGCTTTACTTGAGTACTGTTTAAAAATAAAAAAATTGAGCGGCTCATGGGATTGATGCAATGTATTTACAGATACACGTTATGTATGGACCGCTTCCCCAACCGCTCTCCGGAGGACTGTCTGGTGTACTCCTTCGGCATTCGCGACGACTGGCGCTTCGATGACCAAATGCACAGTCTCGGCTGCAGCGTGGCCTCATTCGACCCCAGCCTGTATCAAAACTCCTCGCAACGCGCCGCCCACCACTTCTTCTACAAATGGGGCCTGGTCACCAGCCCCGAACACATGAGCGGCAACACTCCGCCCGCCGAATGGACCCTCAAGACCGTCAACCAGATCCGCCGGGATCTTAACCACACCCACAGGAAACTCGACGTCCTCAAGATGGACTGCGAAAGCCCGGAGATGACCTTTCTGGACGCGCCCGACGCTTGGGAGGTATTGGCAAATGTTGGGCAGTTAGCGCTGGAGCTGCATTGGTTGCCGCCCGGTTGGCAGGTGGCGCCCAAGGATTTTGATGGGGCGCGGGTGCTGCGCAATATGGCGCGCATCGTGCACCGCGTGGAGAAGATGGGTTTTGTGATGTTCTTCTCCCGGCCGACGCCGAAATGGGTGGGCTTCGATTTCCGGGCGTATAATCGCACGGTGACCCCGGTGAGCGGGGCGGAGGCGTTTGTGTATGAGGTGTCGTTTCTGAACAGTAACGCGGTGGGCAAAAAAAGTCGCGGCGGCGCTGTACTACAGATATGAGGCAGCTTCGAGACTCAGTTTGCACGGTGTCTGTCAGTATAATACTATTTTGCTTCCCGATCCTTTGAAGGACGGCTGAGATAATTATACTAATCGCGTGTTGGGTACCGCCAGTAGCGTCGAGCGTGGTCACTACATCGACTGACGCGCTTTGGATGAATATGCATTAATGATGGTTGACCAGTAGGCAGTGAGCGCCGCTGGATGTTGAGAAATGCCAGGTCGAAATAAGAGCGAATATTCTCGAACTTCTGCATTATACACCGTACGTGTCGGTACACTGTAATTGAGTTGGTGATTGCGCTGAAAAACTGAAGGCGTTTGGTAAAATGCACAGACGCTTCAAGCGCAGTAAAACGCGATGTACAAAGCAGAGGTGTACACCTCGCGTTGGCAACTTTTTTCGAGCAGTGCCAAGATTTTTAGGTTCGTCATAGTTTGACCGTCGCCGCAATCCGCAGGGCATTTCCCCTTGCACGACACAAAATATTTTGAAATAGAAGTCATTAAATTTTAGCCTAAGATAACTAAAACACCGACAGATTCGGCAAGGGTGAATATTTATCAATCAAGGTGAGCATTCTTGTAGTGCGCCATAAGGCTTGCCTGGATTGTAGAATCCCTCAAGCACACCGCACGTTGCGGTTATTATGTGACAGACAAACTGCATATGAACCAACACTTTGACTCAGCAACAAATCCGGGTTTGGAAACGTGTTTGGCCTCAACAAACGCTTGAAAAGATTCCAAGCGGTTCCGGAAAGGCCGTTTGACAGAATAGTATATGTTTATGGCAGACAGAGTAAGGCACATTGCAGAACCATCGCTTATAAGAAAACTCTAATCAGTTAGCGCCCGGATAACCGGAACTCACCTTATAACTGACATTCCTTCTGGCGTAAATGTCTTACGCTAATGTATGCCTATATATTAAGGCAAAAAGCATGTCATGCTGCAATATACCGGTAAACAGGAAACAGCATCGATTTTTCGACCATGAATAGTATACTGGGGCATTGGCTCCGCTTTCGTGGCGTGCCAGAGTCCACGGCATTTTTTCTGCTTTCTGTTATGATTGTTTTGCCCATCATATCATCGGCAACCATACAAACCGACAACGAGATTGCAAATCCATCGCTTAATAAGTCCAGGATAAATGGCCAAGTCAGCAAATTAGGTTCGTATTTTTGCCAGGTGCAAATCACGAAACATAGTCACTCGTACATTTTGTTTTGTTAATTTGCGGTACTTAACATTCCAAGATAAATAACATCGACGCATGCCAGCCATTTCTAGGGGCCCCTGAAGCCTTTCAAGGAACCTTCAGCGTATGCTCCCGACCCCCTGTCGTGGTTCCGGATCTCCTTATGGAAATAGATTATTACACTTTTAGCCTCATTGGGGTTATGCCTGCAAGCTTGGATATGTGGTGGAACTTGTTCATGCGGCAGTTCCAAACCTACCTTGAACTGAGCGGATCAGTGAGCCGGCACACAGCTGCCGTCCAGCTCAATAACCGATCAGTTGCTGAGCTACAGGATGCCCTGACCTACGCTTGGCTACCTATGTTCGGTAAAATACCCTCAATCAAAGTCTCTGAGTATACCATGCTATGAAACGACGTTCAAGAAGGTTGCGTTAGGCCCGCCTAGCTTTGCTGACCCGAATTGCTGGATCTCTTTCAAAGGGCGCTGGTCAGCGTGAGAAGTTTCATTCGGCCGAGGCACCGAACATTGTACCACAAAATTATTCCTAATTACTTCTAATTATTTTCGACAATTTTCAGCCGTTTGTCCGTAGCCTCTAGTGTTAGTTTAGTGCATTAAGCGCTCCTCATTTTACGTTGTTTCATGGCTTAGTGTATCCCTAGAGAGCGTTGTCGAATGTCGACTAACCTCTCATGTTCACTTTCCACTTCTAATAATATTATTGTGTCTTTATGTGCGTTCCAGAAAGGAGCAACCGCACAGCCGTACGTGCTGAAATCCTGCGCATTGAAAACGGAACCATGTTTTCATCGAATGGGTAGCCACATGAACATAACATGCCATATTATCATCGATAATATTATTTATAATCGAATGATTGATGAATTATGTAATCTGCAGATCACCAGTAGCCCTGATTACCTACATGTTGCCAATCTCGGATGAATTCAACTCGTCGGATGTGTCGCATGACTTTTTCCTCGTAGATGTGGATGAAGTATACCCGTCGAATTCCTCCCGCAACCTGCCTCGGGATCCCTGGTTGTATCCTTGGAACGATTTCGCAGAAACCGGTTCATCTTTTACCAGCGATATCACTCAGCGATTGCAGGAGAAGGGTTTGACAGCATACGACGGTCCGCTGTTTTACCAGAGCGGCGGTATACTGGACGATATTTACCTACGGGCAAACTTGACATACGGCCTCTTCGATACCGACGGGTTGAAGGCGGATGTGCTGGGAATTGTTGAACAAAAGCGCATTCGACAGAACTGTAACGACACGGGCATGACCGATGTGGAAGTGCATTTCGGTCAACTCGAGCCAGCAATTGTGCCATCGCGGACGAACGGCAAATTTTCCGAGTAAGTGTACTTTTTCAAACAAAATGCACGCACTAAGAGCGAGAGCTGGGCTTTATTAAATCAGGACTGAATACACCGTTACTGTGTTATGAGCAAAGCTTTACTACGATTCATTTTATCATTTTATGGACCTGCCAGCCGTTCTGACGAAAAGGGAACGGTTTCTCTAATTCTACGCATATTTGTACTCTCTATACACTTTCCGTGACCTTCGGTTAATTTTATGAAAAGAAAACTAAAACGCTCAAATCAGGCAAGTGCCGTAAGTGCCTAAACCAAAGCGATGAAGATTCTAATTAATAACTTTACCGATTAAGAGTTTATTATCATGCCACCAAAAGTGGCTCGATTAGCTGACAGACCGAATATTAAGGTTGAACGATTATGAACTTTCTAATCAGAATTTTAATCACTCAGCATTGTTTTGCGCATTCTGGTGTGTACTTACGGTTTTTTAGAGCTTAAGTTTTATCATGTTTCCGAGATGTGTTTCTCACTTCCCGGTTTCTGTTGCGCATAGTGTGACGGTAATGCCCCTACCATTCGTGGTCAAAGTGCAAGAGAAGACCCTCATTTCCGATACGCTCTATTGGTTCACGTTACCCAACCATACCCATCGCTACTATGTTTCCTCAGAAACGGCGTATGGGAGAAAGATAAACACCACCGGTCTTCATCTAGTGGATCAACCGCCACTGAATCCCACGCGCTCATTCCGGATGCATCTAGATCGCCCACTGAATATACAGCGGCTACCGTTGCTGGAAGCTCTGATGACATCGCATCTTAATAACCTCAGCATTGGTAGGTTTTTCTGCAACTTTCTAGCAGCATCGATATCTCGGTTTTCCTTATGTTTCGGTCACTTTAATTATACCGTTTTCTGTTTTGGTCACCGGTCACTTACACCAGTCAACAAAAACGGCTTGAAACGCTGCTGGTCGCACAACGCTGAAAAGTTTTAGACAGGTCTGCATTCGTCAAAACCAAACTGAAAATGTTAGATTTTTTAATTTCTGAAAATTGTAAGCGTGGAAAGGCGGTACTTTTACACTACGTGCGATCCAATTCCTCTTCTTCCTTTGGAGTTTTTATGGAAATTTTTTTAGCTCATGCGTTAAGATTTATAACGACGTTTTCACTATGAACGCTATTCATTTCTGGCATTGTTGTTTCTCAGGAAATTTTAGCATTATGTGATCAAATATCAGAACATACACTTCGAGTGAACGAAACATTAGAAAAACCAACAAAACCTGTTTTTGGAGCTTTCTGGTAAAGTTTGGAGAATGAGTGTCTCACGTTTTGGTTCTTGAAGGTGCCCACAACCGGGCGGAGGTGCGTATCTGGGATTTTGATCCGGATGGTTGGGTGGTCAATTTTTTTGTGGTTCTACATTATGAGCCCCAACGCCTTAGTCCGTGGAAGGGATTTGTCCTGGATGCCAGACTACCGTATACTGCCACCATCTACCGCAAACTGAATGGCTTAGAGCTTCGCTTACCACCCACCAGTACGGTGTATCGGCTGATGACCGCTAGTGTTGACGAATACTCGAAGAATACGATGAAAGCATCGATTCTGCGGGAATGCGAAGAAAATGATAAGTGGCTTTCTTTACCGAGCGAAGCGCCGGCCTGTCCACTGAAGAAAAACTTTACATTGTACGTCGAATGGCAGTCGGAACGGCCGCAGTCACGTGACCTGGTTAATGGGTCCACAATGGAGCTACCGGTAAGCTATGAATTAATTCGCACTTCCTGATTAAATACCCTGGGAATTATATCCGCACTATGTTAATTCCATTGTTGGAAACGGTACCATGGATGATTCGTTAAACCCGGAGTTACTAAAAAATTAATATGCAATTAGCTAGTTAGTATCTAAATTAGTGGCCACAGGAAATGATGTCATTTCGCGGAGTACTGGCTTGCATCCATAGATTCTGTTCTTCGCAGGATTCTGATAAAATCTTGGATGCAGTACAGCAAGCATTTGCCGCCGCGAACCCCGTGACTATGGATAATATTACTCTGACCATAATCATGACGGAGCGCAACGACAGTTTACACACAGCCACTGAGTAAATATTATAAATGCATTTACACAGGGAAGACATAATTATGTAAAACTATTAAAATGTGTGCACCGGGTTTTAGCTTTTCCTAGCGCCATTTATAAAGGGGAGAATATTCCGCCAGTAATTTCTTATAGTAATTATTTTTGCTTTATCTTGCAGGCGAGACTCGGCTAAGATTAATTTTGCCGTATCGTATCCCAAAATGAAGAGCGGACTGTACTGGAATCTTTGGCGTTATCCATCTCTTCATGAGCTGAACGCCGCCTTGCAGAGCATTGCAGGCGCTAACGTAGTATTTTTGCCCGGTGCAAACCACGGAATTCATGAACGCATACAGTACAGCATTGTCGGTAAAGGTTATATCCGGTTGCTGCTGAGCAGTCGGTCTGTGATGGTGCAATTCAGAAATAAAAATTTTGTTTCGATAAATTTCGCTACTTACGCAGCATTCCATGACGATGACGTCGACACATGTGGCCTTTTCTAGGAGCCAGGGAGACATTTCCCGGAGCCTTCAGCGTGTGCCCCACTGCGTCGGAATCGGATCTTCTCAAGAATCTATCGTACTTCACTAATCGTCTCTTTTCACGTGTGATGTGGAACAGAAACTTGGATTTATCGTTTAACAACTTCATGTCGCAGTTCCAAAGCTACCTGGAATTGCAAGGAGTAATGGGCCGGCACACAGCTGCCCTCCAGCTCAATAACCGGTCTGTAGCTGAGCTGCAGGATGCCCTCATCTACGCCTGGTTACCTATGTTCGGTAAAATGCCGTAAACTAAAGCCTCTAAAATATTCTAAGCCATGATACGACCATCCAAGTATGCCACAAAACCAGAGCAGCTCTGCTAATTATAAGGAAACACTGACCAGTGTCCTTAGATCGATTTTGTAATTTATTTCCCTAGATAATTCTTCATACAAGGAAGGGTTGCGTAAGAGTGGTAAAAACGGTGTTGCAAACCCGACGCAACATTCTACAACATTTAGAAACAAACCACGACAACGATGTAGCTCGATTCCGAAAACATTCTGTTCATTCCATGATAATATTGTCTTTTTGAATCAGTCGTAAATCATGCATTTCATTCACAATTTTTATTATATTATTTCTGGTTGCCTTGAGAAAAATTTGAGCAGTCTGAATACAAAAATTTTATTTTAATTTTCGGTTTATTCGGTCATTTTTCCGTAGACAATATGTTAAGTAGTTTCAGTGGATTTTATCTCGTTTCGTAGCTTGGCATATCCTAGAGGCTCTTATGTGAACGCCATTGACTATTCTCTCAGGTTCGCTTTCCTCTACGAACTGTGTCCTTGTTTGCATTTCAGAACGGGGCAACCGAACAGCAGTACGTGCTGAAATCCTGCGCATTGAGAACGGAACAATTTTTTCATCGAATGGGTAGCCAATAACTGAAATTAAACACTGAAATATGTTTGTCGATAATTAATAACAGATAATTATGTATTCTGCAGGTCGCCACTAAGCCTGATTACCTACATGTTACCCGCGTCAGATGAAGAGGAACCATCCGACTCGGATGAGTATCCGTTGAGTTCCTCCCGTAACCTGCCTCGGGATTCCTGGTTGTTCGCTTGGAACGATTTAGCAGAAACTAATTCATCATTTATCAACGAATTCATTCAGCGATTGCAGGAGAAGGGTTTGACAGCATACGATGGTCCGCTGTTTTACCAGAGCGGCGGTATACTAGACGATATTTACCTGCGGGCAAACTCGGCATACGGCCTCTTCGATGCCGATCAGTTGAAGGCGGATGTGCTGGCAATTGTTGAACAAATGCGCATTAGTCAGAACTGTAGCGGCGCGGGCATGGACGCTGTGGAAGTGCATTTCGGTAAGCTCGAGCCAGGAATTGTGACATCGCGGACGAACGGCAAATTTTCTGAGTAAGTGCACTTTTTTTTAAACAAAATTCACGCAACTAGTAGCGAGTGATACGCTTTACTAGTTAAGACTGGAACACCGGTTTTGTGGACACCGAAAAAAGCTTAACTACTGTTTTTTTCAGCTTATGTATTGGTGAGGGGTCCGACGAATAGCGAACGGTTTCTCAAACTGTCCGCTTAATATGGCGTATATCGTAATCCGAATATATTCTCATGCGTTTTAGGAAATTTTATGAAAAGAATACTAGACCGTTTAAAACAGGCAGGTGTGCTAAGCGTCACAAGCAAAACGATTAAGGTTCGATTAAGAACATCACTGAATAAGAGTTTACCATTAACAAATCTTTTCGACAAAACTCTTCAACAGAATCTGAATCGCTCAGCGTCACTAAGCGCAGTCTGGTGATCATTTCACTATGGGTTTAGGTTTATGTCATCTCTGCGAGATGTGTTCCTAAATCACCGGTTTCTGTTTCACACAGCGTTACGGTGACGCCGATACCTTTTGTGGTGAAACTGCAACAAAAGATCCTTATCTCAGAACTGGTTTCTTGGTTCCCGTTGCCCAACCATACCGATCGTTACTCTTTTTACTCCGAAGCGGTGTATCGAAAAAAGATAAATACCACCGGCCTTATTCTGGTGGATCAACTACCACTGAATCCCGCGCGCTCGTTCCGAATGTATCTGGATCGGCCACTAAACGTTCAGTGGCTGCCGCAACTGGAAGCTCTGATGACATCGCACCTTAATAATCTCAACATCGGTAGGTTTCTCTGCAACTCTCTAGTGAGATGTAGAGAATGCAGATCGCAAGGGTGGGTTCTTCAAGGTACTGATAACCGAGCGGAGGTGCGTTTATGGAATTTTGATCCGGATGGTTGGGTTGTCAACTTTTTTGTGATTCTGTACTATGAGCCCGTACGCCCCACAATATGGAAGGGATTTGTCCTGGATGCCAGACTGCCGTATACTGCCACCATCTACCGGAAATTGAATGGCTTGGAGCTGCGCTCACCACCAACTGGTAAAGTCTACCGGCTGGTGACTGATAATGTTGGAGACGACGCGAAGAATACGATGGAAGCATCGATCCTACGGAATGCGAAGGAACTGGCGTTTGGCTTCATTTACCGGGCGAAGTACAGGTGTGTCCCCTGAAGAAAGACTTCTTATTGCACATCGAATGGCATTCGGAACGTCTACAATCAAGTGACTTGGTGAATGGATCAGTAAACGAGCTGCCGGTAAGCTATAGAATAGTTTGCTCTATGTGATTGTTTTTCGCCAAGCGTTTTGATAACGTTTTGGGGTGATTCATTAGGCAATTATTTGACATTTAGTGGCTCGTATGCAAATTGCTCTGCTGGATCTCGAAGAGCGCAGTTGTGAGGGAAACCAGAGTTATCATGAACTGTGACGAGTGTGACCGCCTTTAAAATTTACAATTACGGCGCTGGAACAGTTCATGAAGCGCCTGCGATTCCCTCGTTTGCCGAATCGCTCGGTCTCCTGTGTGATTTAATAGCGCCCAATGCGCAGTGGCTATGTTGCCGCAGCTTTTGCGCCTAAATAGTCTTATGCTGTTCTGCCGCAGCATGTGCTTCCAGCAAGCCTATTGGCTATTTTGCCAGCACATTGCTGGTTTTCAGCTGGTTAGCTGTTTTGCCGCACGTCCGATTATGTGACGAACTAGTTTTTGATACTGCCATTACCAAAGTATCTGTACTGAGCGAGCACTAAACAGAGCAGCTGCAAACTGTTATGTACTGTACACTGAAAACGACTTTGATTACCAGATGTAGTAATAAAGCTTGCCCATCATCAAGCGTAGGTCCATCATTGCTTGGACCGTTTCTTTGCAGAGCTCCGATAAAATCTTGGATGCAGTACAGCAAGCTTTTGCCGCCGCGAACCCCGTGACCATGGATAGCAACGCTCTAACCATCACCATGACGGAACGCAACGACAGTTTACGCGAACCACCATGGTAAATCACATAGCAATAACCTAAATAGGATTACTAAAGGGTTTACCGGGTTTGGCCAGCACCACTTAAAAACGGAAGAACATCCGCCAGTCATTTCTTTTAGTTATCACTATATTTCTGCTTTTTCTCATAGGTCAAACGGTGTCAAGATTCGTTTTGCCGTGTCGTATCCGAAAATGAAGAGCGGGTTGTATTGGAACCGTTGGAGTTATCCACAATACGGTGCGTTATATACCGCCATAATGAACATTGCGGGCGTTTCCCTTATCAGCGCATGGCTAGGGTCGGGGCCAGATTTTAATTCCGACACGCTCCAGTTCTTCTAGAATAATTCAAATCCCATTTACCGTTTCTCTTTGCAACGGAAATCAAACAATACCTCGTTTAGAAGTCTCGGTGGTTATGCAAAGTTCTGCAATAAAGTTCTGCAAGGTCCTGTGACATGTTTTTTTCTATAATGCGGCATAAGAAAGTCGGTGTAACACATATGTCGATAACGGGTTTGTTGGTGATCGAGAAGGACACGATCCCGATAATTCAGAAGAAAACTTTAATGATCTGTTTTGTCTTCCCTAATGTTGCAGACAATATTATGTTACTCATTCATTCATCCTTGTGCAAATATGCTATTTTTACGCATGGTAAATACAGAAGCGTACCAATGTCTTCTTAACGCGCTCAGCATGCTCCAGTTCAGCTTCCCTGCATTCTGGGTGATGGATGAATAAAGAGAGCAACTATAGGAGTCATATCTGTGTACATACATACACCAGAAAATCCCGGTTTTCAAGGTTAATCGTTGCCTGAGTGTAAGGAATGCGAAGAGTTTCCGGAAGTACGACACATAATGCCTAGTTGATTCAGTGAGCAAGTCTGTCAAGCAAGTTTGTGATTCAGTGAGAGTTTGTGATTCAGTGAGTGTTTTTGGTTCAGGAACCGGCGTGAATAAGCCCGTCCGGATAATGAGCACGTAAAGGTACAGCTAATCGTGCTAACTAATCGCGCTTAGCACGATGGCTACTGCACTATGTTTACCACAATGCGTAAATGCGCTCCGCAGTTAGATTGCCTCTTACTGCGCCGACCATTTTCTACGAAGTGTCTCGGGGCAACGGTTTTTACTGGAATTGCAATACTTTATACTGGAATTGTTGCTTGGAAATGGAGTTATAGAAATAAAACCGAAATATCGAAAATGGTAAATTTTAAAAGGTTAATGTTTTTTTTACCCTTCCTGAAATATGAAAGGCCCCTTGGGGGCCGGGGGTGTCTTCCTAACTGCTTTTTTTAGCTAGCTATTCTATGTAAAAATTTAAATTATTAACAAAATTAGTAAATAAATTAAATTGGTCCGATTTCGCTGTTGCAAAAGTATAACATTTACCACGAAGATGTCTGGTACGATCGTGCTCCATCGTAAATTCGTAATGCACTTTGGAAGCTCGAGTAGTTAGGTCGCTTGGAGCACTTTACTAGGATGCTACTGTAAGAATTTTTGCTCAGACAATCAACATAGCAAAAATGATTAAGAGCAAATAAACAGAAGAGGTGCATTCTTTAATATTTTATGCATTTTACTGCGTTGCATATTGTAGAGTGATTTCGATAACAACTGTAGTGTTTCGCTGTGTCTCAAAATTCCCTGTGGAACTTCGTACAAGGCGTACGAAAGTATGCTTTGATAGGTGGCAATGCCAGTAACATTTTATGACAATGATAAAGCATGATGCTTGTTAGCAAGCAAGAGGTCGAATATTCTCGAAATGCTTGGACACTGGAACGCTTCACATCCAGTTTTGATGTTGTGCGTTGGTAATATTTTTTTAAGAAGACGCTCTTTTATTGCAATAATAACAAAATCACAGCAAATCTGCCAAGAAAAACAGCATCGGGCATTAATCAATCCCGATCAGGCAATCTAAAAGCTAAAAAAACGACCTTGTTGAATCTCATTGCTACAGTGATTCTTGTAGTACAGAGCAGGATATTATTAGAGTTTCTCCGGGTCTGCCGAGTTTTCATTTTGCTTTTTTCAGTTTCACCTCTGTTTCCGCCAAAACTAATACTTCCTAGTTTGCTATTTAAAACAGTCGTTTAAAAATTCTGTCTATATGCTAATTATTTATGATACATACTGCATATCTACTACATACGCAGATAAATATTGAATATACGAAGAGCATTCTGAAAGCAAGTTTTCCCATTATGTCTCCTTGCTATTTCAAGTTATAAACAAGTTACAAAAATTTTTGCTGGATAACAGAATAATTATGCAAACAATCTAAAGGAATAAGAAACAAAAGAATTGAGGAAGAACTTGCTAAATGCAAAACAGAATGGCAAACGCTACTGTTGCACTTTTCTCAGCATAATGTTTTAAAAATAATAATTCTTTTGATTGCCGCTTCCGACCTGGCATGTTTTCAACGAAAAATTTGAAGTGCCAACTAAAAAATTTGATCTTGATATTACTGTGTAACATTACATTTCGAAGAGGTCAGGGGTAAAAGTAAAAGCAAAGTTTTCTTTCACATCATTCCGAACTTCCCGTTTTTCAGCCGAGAGGAGTTATAAAGGTCACGCGTGCGCGCAGACTTAATGAATTGTTTTCATGAAATTTGATGTTTTTTATTTCGCTTTTCTACAACATAGCTAGAGTTGGTAGTCCCTGCCGTGAGGACAAAGGCTAAACTACATATGAACGTTTAGTCCGGTAGCGTTTTCTTCGAGGGCCTATCTACAGTATATAAGGGGCAAAACTAAGCGTGTTCCACGGTTCCCCTGTATTGCTGCCGTCACCCGCCTGGAGTGTGACGTTACGGCAATACATATGGTTAAATCTGGCGCGGTACATAAGCGCCATGTTTAGCCACAACGTAAAACTCCAGGCGGGTGACGGCAGCAATACAGGGGAGCCGTGGAACACGTTTAGTTTTGCCCCCTATATACCGCAAAGCACGAGAAAAGACATCATAACATATTAAGGACGATTTCGCAAATCTTCAACTACATAGTATTATAAGCCTGCATGTACAGCCCTGGCCAGCCAAGTTGGGACAGTTTCTTCTAAAAATTACTACGCGTCTGCTGTCAATAAATAAATATTTATTTCTTACTTTACTGCCGAATGTGTCCGGCATCTTTTAAACTGCAGGTCTTTATGTTTAGAACGTGCTGGAAATCGCAGTGAGCTGAAAACTAAGATAGACCAGCTGAAAAAAACCGCTAAACCCGTATGGAGTGACGGTTCTCCTCGCACTTATTATTTTTTTAAAAATTCCATTGAGGCCGTAGTGTAAAGTCAATAAACCTTAGTTGTTAACCATCCAATTCTTCTGAGGGAGGTGCCTGACAACAGCCGATTTCAGTCAAGCCGCTATGACCTTTGCGGTGCTTCGACGAGCACTGCTAAAATGAAGCATGACCTTATTTGCAAGCTCGCCGCGCACCCGCAGAATGCCAGAGAAGACCTTTTTTGTTAAAATCTCGCTCACAAAGCATGAAGCGTCAGTTTCAGGTTTTTAATCCATGTAGCAAGCCGAAGGCAGTCGGCTCAACCACTTTCAACAGCCACCACAACTTTTTGTTGTTACAGCTTTGCTGTTTTTTCTTCCATTCTTCTGGAAGTCCCACCTCCCCGTCTATGAGGTGGGTATTCCTTTGCACATCAAAATCAACTAACAGGACTTGCAACTTATTCACTGAAAGTAATTGTTTTATGCTGTTTCAATCTGTGCGCTAGGCAACCACAATCCTCGGTTGGCCGTTTTTAACATACAAGTCTATGGGAGATGCCCCTTGTTGCAACGCTATGCCGACCACTGATCACGCAAGATTTTTTGTTCTCTTCCGTGACAAATACTTTTGGGTCACCCAACAGTCAGCAGAAAAGCTAACGTAAAAAAAACGGTTTTGGGAATTTATTAAAGCGGCAGATGTAAGCTTCCCAAAAAGGACTGCTACCTCTCCCCATAAATCAATGCTCGGCTCGTTACCGAGCTATCAAAACATTCCGATTTTAGTATTTCTGGATTTGCGATAAAAAGTTACACGGGATAAGTCCAAATATAAGAACAGAACAACGCCTACAAATATTTGCCCATTGTTTTCTAAAAATGCCCCAACTTGGCTGCCCAGGGCTGTAGTATACAACGTTATATTGCCAATAGCTTCTGTGTGGCCTGGGAATTAGGATGAAAACAACAAGGTTTTAAAATGTTTCACGAATTTGACGTGTCTTAAATTCGAATTTTAATGACAGCTGACTAGCGGCAAGGAGAAAACTTCTGAGTACAGCAAAAAACCTAAGTTTTAAGTGCTTTAGTGCAGTATTAATTCTACTACTACCTTATTACTACAACTACAACAAGGAGGAGAAACATACTAAACCCTACTACAAGCAGGAGAACACACAAGTCTTTGCTTTTTGGGTACAATGGGTGAAGCGGAAAAGTTAAATGAATTCTGGATGTTATAAAATGCAAATAGCTTTTTCGCTTGCTCTCAGTGGTTTTCTTACTGACAACTATGTAAATCGGTTTTCATCAATAAAAAGGTTCCCAGTCTTTACTTACGTCAACGTATACATAAACGTATACTACAACGTGCACACTGTACTTACGTGGAGTACGCATACAGTATATAGGGGGACAAACCAGTCTACTAGGCCCGGTTCCGTGTACTGCTGCCGTCGCCCGCCTGGAGTGTGACGTTACGGCAGTACATGCGGTTAAATCAGGGGCGGTACATAAGCGCCATGTATAGCCACAACGTAAAACACCAGCCGGCTGACATCAGAAGTACAAGGGACTGGTTCGGCTAGACTCATTTTTCCCCCTATATAGGGGGCAAAACAAGGCATCTTCCACCGTTCCCCTGCACTGCTGCCGTCACCCGACTGGAGTTTGACGTTGTGGCTATACATGGCGCTTATGTACCGCGCCTGATTCACCCGTATGTACTGCCGTAACGTCACACTCCAGGCGGGTGACGGCAGCAGTACAGGGGAACGGTAAAAGACGCCTAATTGCCCCTTGTATACAATAATTACATATATGAATACTGACTTGTATGTGCCAGAATTTTGGCCCTATTCTCCCGGGCCAGTGATCTCAGCTTCTAATCACCCATTTTTGCTGAAATAATGTGCCCAATATTACCCTCAATGTTGCCGGGAATCTACCACCACTGACCTTTTGCAAACTTGATTTTCTGAGACCCTGTGGTCAGTCATAAGTTTATTACCATGGATGCCATAAGGTTAACATGGGTACTTTTGTTTATTGTTACCAGGGGTTTATTTAGTCATTTAGTGTATGTTTCTTTGATAAGCACAAGGGCAAGCATTGAGCTTCGGCGATCATAGACAAACGTCAATCTACAAAGTCTCACGCTGTTCTAAAAAAATCTACGATTCGGGAAAGAATTTGTAGATAGATGTCTTAAGAAGAACCCAAAC